ATCTAACATATTTTGTGAGAGTATCCTATAACATAATGTGCTATATTCGTTTTATAGTATAATTTACTAATAAAAATGTATGAATATTATTAAAATCAGTTTATTTATCGAAGAACGTCTTATATTTTATTATTACAATATGTTTTCATCGACGGTAAAGATACGAAATACGAATAATAACAATGTTGATCGGACGAAGTTATTCAAATATATATCTTGGTGTGCTGTCTAAACTTGCACGTGGACTGTCTAGCCTTGAGAGGCCCCCGCCGCCGCCACGTGTACCATTATATCGACTTAAACGCCAAAACTACCCACTAGAAACTGGTTCTCTGGCACGTTTATAAAACGTTAATCATCTCCGCACCGATCCAAATCGTAATACATAATAATGATGTGCACTGGCGACAGTGGCTTAGGATCGAACAGCAGTAGCACACGGGTCGGTTTAATATATTATAATAGGTAGATAATATACAAGACCAGGTAGGGTTTATTTATCTCGTAAAACAAAAAAAATTTAATCGCCCGCGCCGCATCGCAGTCCGTTTTCCCTCGTCGGCACCCAATGGCCAGCTGTGTCTTTTTTTCGTATTCTACGCATTACATTTTTTTCGTGTGTTGTTCCTTCTTCGCCGCTCGTCATTATAATATTGTGTTGCTGCAGTCACGAACCGGTTTCGGAAATGATGCTGCCTTACAAAGTTCCGGGTCTCCCGCGACCACAGAAGAGTACCATAGATAACATACGATAACATACGCGAGTTCGGTGTGAACGATGCCGGAGCAGATCCTGCTTCGGACGGACAAGAAATGGCGTTCGTTATGTTACGTAACGATCTCTTACAATATCGGTATCGTACCTATAATAATATATTATAGTAGACGACGAGTGGGATTTAAAAAAATACATTTACTATGTTTTTGTCGTAAGACCGAGTTCAATGACGCGTCGTTATTATTGTGAATCCCAAATAACACGCCGCTATTAAATAATATCCACTATCCGACTCTTTATAATATTGTTAAAAGCGTGATGTATGTGCCCACGTATCGTGAGAGATATTATATTTACATTGCACATTATAATTCCTATTTTAGGCAAGTACCAGTTTCAGTATAATAGTATTATGCCTTATACCTATTTGTACACAGCTAATACAATTAACATATATAGGTACATATCATCATACATATTATCAAATTTATTGCGCTAGTACAAGTTCTGTAATTTTTTCGTCGATTTATTATTTTATAATTAGATTTTTGACCTGGCGTACGTCGGATAAGGTTTTTTTTATTTTAAATCATTCTTAATATCAGTTTTAATATTATATTTATGTGCTGACCTGAAATGGCGTCGGAGATCGTTGCTTTAGATGTTCTAATGCGGTTGACCCACTTATATATATTATAGTCGCTCCTAATATATAGGTATATAGTATTGTAGTGTATATTGCTATCACCCAAGAGGAAACCGTTCTGCTCATATTATACTTGCGACTTTGTCTCATTAACTAGATATAGCGTAACCCCGAGGGACCTAATTTATTGTTTCTTATAGTTATTTTTCCCTCATACGTTGTTGTAGTCATTAATTGTTATATGGTAAACTATAAAATTACATCAATCGAGTTCATACATAGAATATTGGCTGATGCATTATTTCTCAGGGCACTAGTGCCCACAAACTACAATATTATGGCTTTCGGTTTTATTTTCATATACGATACACCGATGCGATTTTTAAGACCAACAGCGAGGTGCCTTTTAATTTCGCCCATGGTGCAGTATAGTGCGTAGGTTATAATATATTATGTACGATAATGACAATAGGTACTGTCAAACAGTTATTTATACGATATTAATAACAGAAATGTTCTAATGGTAGAATAAACGAAATCGGAGTTTCGATATTCACGGAGATTATCCGATCATGTACTCCTCGGTTCCGGAACCAATACCGGAACCAATACCGTACCTATCCATCTCATTCATCCTTTTCCCCGCGACGGATGGTCAACGTTTAAAATTAGTGCCGTAATAATACGCGTGTTGTATCGAACGTCAGTGTTTTCCCTCGTGTGTGTCCTGCTGACTCTCCTCGAACCCGATGTCCTATGTGGCCGGGATCGCTTATTTTTTTTTATTGAACATCAACTCGGTTTTCCTTGAGCGACTTCGCACGCAGTGTCGGCATGCGCGTACGGTTACTTTCACATCGCATTCCAATTGATTTTCGCACGACTCGAATACCAATGCACGCACGCATTATATGTATTATATTTATGTATATATATATTATTAATATTGTATTATATTATTATATTTATTATATATACACGCCAAGAAATTCACGGTGCCGAATATAATAATATGTAAAGGAAAATAAAAAAAAATCCATCCATCTTCACGTTTGTTTGTGCGGAATAATGTTCGCATCGTGTCGTCGACAGATCGATGTATAAATGTATAATATAATTAATAATAATTACTATAAAGTATGTACCTAACACTGTGTACAGTAATATAATACGACGACGACGGTGCAATGTGCATATATGCTTTAATAACTGAGCTGCAATTAATGCAATGGTTATAATATGTGTTATATACGTATGCAGTACTATCGATGATCAAAATATTGTATGCCTAGCTCGAAGTGATAGATAGGTAGGTAAGGTATACATTTAATGATATTCCAAAATCTATTCGTCTACCTACACGTATCTCTAAAGTATTATATAATATTATATTGTATACATATATATATAGTACATCATAATCACATTATCGCTCTTTAATTTATATACACCACCACCGTCGGTATTATATTCTGATTGCATATTTGACCATCACCTCTAGTTCTCGGATATATAATTTAATGTAATCGATTTGTGGACCGTGATGGAAACTATCGGCCCTAAAACTTTTACGAGTAATTATAACAAGAGTGCTGAGCTCAATGCTTATAATAATAATATATAATGTCATGTCATATCCATACGTTTTCAGGTAGGTAATAGGTATATCTTATATCGTAAAATATATATAATAATATGGTTCCCACACATTATAGGCATCCTAAGGGTTTAATACGTAATTTTGTCTGTTCCACGTCTTAAGGGGGGTGTGGCGTATATAACCGTTTATTATTGTATAACGTTTTGCGGGCTCTCGTATTCACGCCAAAACAGGCGGTATAATAACAACAGTGTCCGATACGTGGGCTGGGTCATGTGACTCTCGGGCCTGTGTCGCGTCGTGGTATAAATCATTGTTAAATGAAAACAATAAAGAAAAAAGGACTGTCATCCGTACACGCCGCCGGTTCGTGTTGAAAATATTGTGTCATGTACCTGGTATACAGTGTACGCTAAAGAAATGGAAAACTTTGTTCCGATCCGATCGTCGTCGTCGTCGATACGCTGCACCGTGTTGAGTGTCACGGAAAGAACACACCGGAACGTGTAAACGCGCGATAGTTATGTTTCTCGATCGGGGCGACAGTCTATATAATATACATTTGACGCGAAACCTTGAAATACGTCTATTTTCTCTGAAATATATTGTCCGTGAACCGTGACTGCATTGATTTGTGTGTCCGAACACGTTGTTTTATAGGTGAATATGTTGCCGGCCGCATTGTACTTGTCATCTCAAGGCGGTGTCCTGTGTCGCTTTAACCTTCTTTCTTTCGAAAAATATAATGCACAATATTATTAGGTCATAGGACTCCGATATAAAAATACCTATTAATTGTTTTTAATTACTGTGCAGAATGTATGATACTTACCCGACCCTTTTTTAATTTTTGTCGAAACAAAAATGTCCCAACAGCCTTGTTATAAGAAACGATTGGCCTCGCCGTCCTAATCGATTGTAGAGTAAGGGTATAAGTAATAGGTATAAGGCGTAATACGATAACATAGATGAACTTGATACACATATGCTTTGAAATACATAAGAATATTGTCTCACTAAACATTGTTATGACATTACGCGTTATACTTCACAACGGTGTACATGCAAAATGATATTCAGGTGTGTGTTGATGGGTGTGTGCGTCTTTATTCGACTAATAATAATATATGCTTTGGAAAATCTTCTCGAGTTTCTACATTCCGGGTAGGTAATTAGAAAGGCGTCGTTGATTATTTTTATAAACGAATCCAGCACGGACGTTTAATCGAAATATCGTTGAAGTGTTGTCATCCGCATACACTACCTCCACCACCACCACATCCACATCCATATACACCACACCCACGCTGTGTACGCGACGTTCTGATCGCGGAACCGGTATTGGCACGCGCGCGCAATAACAAGTTACTTAATAGGGACCAAGCACAGGGGGGCGTTGAAACTGGGAATCGTGATCTGAGTGCGATATGACGTATTATTGTCTGTTTGCACGACAACGGACGCGCCAGCTAGGAAAAGCCAACGCATAATAATACTATCATAATATATAATAAGTTGCAGTTGCCAAATTGAGAGTGCTTCGCTCGGACAAACCGTCCTTAACTCGTGATAGGAATATTCTAACAAACTAATGATGTTTTATACACACACGTGTACGTGTACGGCGAAGGGTGATAATAATTGTGTTATGAGTGTTGGAAATAATAACTACCTAGTTTTACAGTCTTTGTATATGTGCCTATTATCTGTTCACCGGTAGCGTATACAGCTTGAGTTGATCTGTAAAAATGCAAATAATATAGTAGATCTATCTATACTTACAAACATTTCAAGCGATTTTATTCAACCGCATATTGTAGTTCGCGAACATCAATGGCGATAACCGGTCAATCGTTTGACCCTTGATATAGCAGTAAATTTGACGTCTAGACTGTGACGGTTTATTATACCCTCCGTATTATTATTAGAACATACCATCCATACCAGCTGTATTAATTATCTATTTATGATGTCGTTATTGTTCGGCTAAACCTCTGACCTTAACCTATCTAACGTTTTACATTTTGCGGTTTCAGGTGAAATGTGCGTGGAGAAACCGCTGTGCAGCCTGTGGAAGAATTACACGTGTAACCAGAAACCAGACGTGCACATGAAGCTGACCATCACGCAGTCGGGACTGAAGGCGTTCACTAAGGAGCACGGGCTCACCGAGTACTGGAGTCATCGGGTCACCTATTGCCTGGCGTCGCCACAGTTCCCTCGTATTTTCTGCTGGGTGTACCGGCACGAGGGCCGCAAGCTCAAGCAGGAGCTTCGGTGCCATGCGGTCGTGTGTACCAAGGAGTCGGTGGCCAGGCAGATCGCTGGCCAGCTGCGCTGCCGCTTGGCACAGGCGCTCAGCGAGTTCAAGCGGGACAAGATCAGCCGTCAAAACGCTCGGCTGTCATTGGCCAACAGCGTGTACGAGAATCCGTCGCTGCCCCGACGCAAGATCTTATTGTCAACCGGGTCGCACAACTACAGACCACCGCTGGAGCGGTCAAAGTCCGCGCCGCGGCTCGTGTCCATTGAAGAGAGTCTGGAAGAGGACGAAGAACCGGCTGATTCTTGCGCGGCGTTCAGGAGGTGCCGAGCCGAGAACCGGTTGCGAACCGGCACGCTTCGAAACCGGTTGGGTGGACTCCACGGTTACAGGGAGACGGCTGCCGCCACTGCCGCCGCCATAACCGCTGCTACCGCCGCCGCCGCCGCTGCCACCGCTGCTACCAATGCATCCGCCGACGTCACTACCGACACCACTGAAATGGTGAACGAGATCGAAAACCGACTTGCCAAAAGTCTGCAGCTCGGGGACGATGGCTCAACCGATGACAGCGCCCAATCGTACCAAAACGTAGATTGCGATTCAGCTGAATCGCTGCCGTCTTATCGAGACGTCATAGCCGAAGATCAAGAGTCTACTTCGTCCTCTTCGTCGTCAACGATTTGCGTGGAGCAACAGCAGCATGAACTGCTTCCCAAATACAACGAAGTGATCGTCGACTGTCCACAAGGTCCAGAAGATGTGTGCTACAAATACAACAGCCTGGTCCGGGACAGGAAGAGACTGTTTGAGAGCATAGGTGGTGGTATAGGTGGACGTCGCGATCAGTTCAAGCGAATAAGCTCAGACTCAGAGTTACTTGGCGCCTATAACAACCTGGTGAAAAACAGGAAGCTCCTGTTCGAAGGCTGCCGGGATGTCGATGGTGACGATGATTCTTACGTTGACGAGGAAGACTTGGACGAGGACAAAGACTGTGGATATCCGGACGATGAATCCACGCCCAGCCTACAAAGCATATCCAGTGGCGGATCAGACGCGTGTAAGAAGATCGCCATGGACCTTGACTCTCTGTCGGAGGAGGAGGACAGTGATGAAAGTGGTTATGTGGAGGCACCGCCGTCCCGTTGTCCTGCCGATGCGGCTGGCCATGTCGACAAGGAAAAGGAACTGCACAAACGCAACAACCACGCCGTTGCCGCTAGGAATGCTTCTGCTCGTCGGGTCGGCGCGTAATAACCGTCCGCTCGATATCATGTGAAAAAGACTTTTTTTAGAATTATTATTGATTTTATCATTTTGAACGCGTAGGTGGTGTATCTCCACAGTATGTCTGGTATACACCGAGACGAAACGATATAATATGACGACATGATATATGTTGTTATTATATTTTTATAGTATGTACCAACTATTATTGTTTTTATTATTATTGTTGTTGTTATTCCAACTGCGTATGACCCCAGCGTGGGCGTGTGTTAGCCGAACAAGAAACAAGGACGTTGAGGACGGACGAGCGCGAAACGGCGAGTAACAAAAAAAAATATTGAAAATACCTACCACGAGACAAGCTCCTCCGCGGACGTCGTCATAGCAGTGGTTTTCGCGTGGAAGAAATAATCGCTACAATACTGTAGATAACTCATCGAGAGTAGCATTAGTTAGCCTGAGGACAAAAACTAGTTTTTTTCCATCATTATTATTACTATTATTCTTTACGTTGTAAAAAAAAACCAACCAGTTTCCACGTATTTATTTCATCTTTTTTGTACAAAATTAATCGAACCCCACTGCTTTTCGTCTATGCTTTGCCACTCGCGCTCGCACGTCACTCTATTATTATTATATAACAATATTATAATAATAACAACAACAACAATAATAGTATCACAGATAATTAATACTTTATGTGTACGTTATACGTACGTTCATGTTTTATTATGTGTAAATATCACAAATCGACCTAGTCAAGCAATCGTATTATTAGGGATTAGCGTCTATAATAGGTAGCGAATCACATTTTTCATAGTTTATGTTCTTAATAAATAAATATGTATTTGTATGTGTTACGAGGATTAATGAAAGGATAGAGCAAAAGGGACTGCATGAGCAGGAGATTTTTCTTTTGGCCTTTGCAGACCGGGTTCTAGTCAACGACATTCCCATAATGTTGTTGTGTCTTGGACGAAAAAGTAAAACATACGATTGATACCAAATAAGGTGCTAGCTATAATTTATCGAATTAGACTTTTGATTATATTATATTCAGCAGTAGGTTCTGTTTAAGTAGAGGTGTGGGCCCACCCCATACCTATTTACGTATATGTTGTTATATTATATTACTCTCACATTATTTCATGTACTTTTTCTATTTTACCCATTCGAACAAAGCACGCGACTTTAAAGTTTTTAAAAATATAATATTAATTATAGACCGCCGTCTAACAAACGACGCGTTTTGTTTTTTTTTTTTCGAAAATTCATTATTATAAAATGTCAACCGACGTTCCTATGGCCTTTTTTTTAATGGTAGATTTTTATTTTAATGGAAATCAGAGTCGAACAAAAATATTGCTTAAAACTCCGTTTGTATAATATTCGCGTAGGTATAATATTTTATATAGGTAGGTTTTATTTCTACGTGTGAACTCTACCTGTACCAACCTGATTGCCGCGATTAGATTATAATATTATATTCATTAAACTGAAAATAAAATAAAACCGTTTATTATACGCGTGCATCACAGATAATAATATAATAATTATTACAAATTCTTTGAACCCAATATAATATGATGTGTGATGTTCTGATGCGTCTAGATTAGATGATAGAATAAATACTTAAATAGAAATGTTAAACTATTAGATAACGTAGGTATCACATAAATATATATATATGTGTTACGTAAGTATGTTATTAAATTGCCGTGCAATGTTAATTAAGAAAATTATCTGATTATTTAGACTTGTTTGAAAATATATTATTATCGCGTTCGTTAATGAACTTGAAAAATAATAATTTATGTTTTTATTTTATTACATTATACCAAAATGCAATTTGTACGTTAGATTATTATATTATATACCTTATACGTATATGTGTGTGTGTGTACCTATAGCGTAACAGTATAATATTTATAACGATATTATTATTATTTTGTAAAACTGATGATTATTATTTGTATTTGTATTTTATTTTACTTTTTTTTTGATAGTTGAATTAAAAATTGTTATTCAAAAAAACAACAAGTTGTTTGTAATTTTTTATTCTGTTTAGCGTCTGCTGTTAATGGCCTATATCACGTCAATCGTTATAATATGAATATTATTATCATCGTCTCGTCGCCGTTTTTTTTTCACCGTTGCGGCTGCTAATTAAATACTACGCAAATTCATAATATTATTATTATTATCATTATTCATAATATTATTGTGAAAAAATATCTTCTCGGAAACCGTAACGATTCGACCACACAGCTGATCGATATCGAATGACCGCGATGGGGGCGTGGATGTCGGACACTACAATAATATTCGTTTCCGAACGAAATATTATTATTACGATATTTTTTTTCCGACGAGAAACATAGTACGTAGTAGTGCCAATAATACAGAATATTAATTATACATCGTAATGAACTACCTTTGTGGGCTCTCTCGTTCGTCGTATACCTCCGGATATTGTTTTACCCACCACGTGGCGCCGTCCGGACGGAATGACACATCCTCATACCCCCCCTCTCTCACACACACCCGCTCACCGCCGTGTAGCCTGGTACAATAATATTATATTATTATTGTTTATTGCATTATTTTCTCCGATACGTACGGAATACGACCGATTTTATGTCGTTGTTTGGGTGGCTTTTATCGGTGGACATTTTACCACAGCAAAAAAAAAAATATATATTTTTATTTCCAGTCCTTTTGCACATTTTAGACTGTGGAAATCCATTAATTCTTCACTGTGTAAAATGGAGATATCCCTGAAAAAACCTGTACGGGATAAACCAGCTACTATTATACAAAGTTACTTCCATTTCGTACAATTATGATAAATATATTATATTGTATTCGAGCGACGATCGAACGGAGAAAGTCTCAGAGGCGTGTTCGTCTTTCCATTGTCATCGTTTTTCACCGCTGCAGATACCCCACGGGCATAATATAATAACAAACATAATAATATTATGAGCACAGAAATATACGATATAACCCTCGTCGATATAATTCGCCGACGGATGATAAGTACGTCACTACCGTCACGTGAGTGTCTGAAGATATACGACGTCATAATATGTTAAGGTTTTTTAAATTTTAATCCGGTCTAGCGGAAATCGTGAAAATGTATATTGAAGTAGGTACACGTGTCGTACGCTTTAAATATTATTATTATTACTGTACGTGTGTGTGTCGGTCATTGTTCAAGGAATTCAAAACTAAACGGCAAAAAAATCCAGCAATAACTTCAGCCGTGTAGGAGTGAGTATAATATTTTACAGGTGGTGGAGTGACGGTTGGAGATTGTTCCGTGGAAACTATAATGTGTTTACTGCCAATTTATAACATTATGTGGGATGAAAAGTATTTTTCGACACGTGCAGCAGTGTGTAAATTCCCTCATTTTTTGTAATGCAGAGTGAACATGGTTTAGACCAACCCCTAGTACCCGAACATATTTTCCACCCCTCAACGTGTAAAAAAAATGACTAATGAGCACTTTGGCGCCACCGCAGTAAACACGAGGTACCCATACACGGTGCCTCGCCGAGGTAATGTTTTTTTGAAAAATTATGACAGAGACGACGTGTGACGTCAGTAATAAGTATCGTTGGACTTACTCACAGGATTTTTGTCAAAATTCCACTTGAACACAAAGTCCTCGGCTCGTCCATCACGGTCGGGTTATCGAAAATTCCGAGGACATATTAATATGTAATATTATAATTTATAAATAGCAAGTTATCATTAAGAGCATAATAATCAATGCCAAGCAAATTAAGTTAAACGTTAAAAGTTACATTTCTTTTTTTGAACTCGTAATAGTTACAAGTTAATATTAGGTAATAAAGTAACTTAACTCTTTGTTAAAAAACAGTTACTTTTTTTCCGTATAAAATACATTTTACCTTTTTTAAAGCCAACAAATAACATAGTAGGTTTTAAGAAAAAAATAACTTAAAGTGAAAATTCAATTAATTTAATAAATCTTTTAATAAATCTTTACCAACCCAAAGCTAAATTATAGACTATGACGTATAGTGTTTAATGCTTATACTTTATACAGTGTTTCCATATATAGTATATATATGTAGGTATTTCATTGAAGTTTTTCGTTTCTAAAAAAATAACAATGTTTACCTATCTAATAAATTGGATTGGAAAAGTATAAAATGTTTAACCCAACTTCATCTTGTTAACTCGTTAACTCCCGGCCTTGCATCTTGGGCGGTATATTGTGAGTAGGGTAAAGTCGCCAATATTGGACCGGTGCCTAAATTGGACCACCTCAATTAATCAGCTGTTAAACATAACTAATGATAGTAACATTTATTAATTTGTTTAAAACCGTTTTAAAACGTCTTTGGAGTTATCACATATTGTTATCAATCATCTTTATCAGTATTATATCACTTAATCCAAAAACAGTCATTTTCATGCTATTTTTTTTAAATAATCAATAAGGTTTTACTGTAAAATAGGTAAGTAAACTATACTTTATTTATTAACGGTGTTATAGACAAATTTGTAAAGAAACAAATCGTTTAAAATAATTTACACTTATATTAATATTGAAATTTATTCATCAATTTTTCTAAAAAAAAACAAAGTTGCTTATATTGAACCACCAATAGTTTCCAAAAATGGACCACTAAAATAGTTCATATATTTTTACAGACATGGCTAAGTATGGACAGTGGTCAGAAGAGGACCTACAACATGCTGTAAGGGCATATAAAAACAAAATTTATGGGCTCAATCAGTGCCAAAGACTATATGTATTGACTGATAACTTATAAATTTTATTATTTTATGTATGTTGTTTATTTTAAAATTTAACCAAGAAGGTATAAAAATGTTGTTTATTTTATAAAAAACTAGTCAGTAAGGTATTGACTGATAACTTTTAAATACAATTATTTTATTATTCTAAAAATGTGTTTTATTTTAAAATTTATCCAAGAGGTCCAATTAAAGATATAGGCGGTCCAAATTAAGCAACCGGTTGCCTAAGA